ATGGATTTTAACTGTCTGGGGTTTTTAAAAATTTTATTGTATATTTGGTGTTTTTTTTTTTTTTAAAGAATTTTGTTTTTTTTTTATTTGACTTTTTTATGAAATTCGAGTATTTCAACAGAGGTCTTGGTTTGGGCGTTTTGTTGAAGTTCTTAGCCAGACATCTTTCTCCAGCAAAATTTTTTTTTTTTTTTTTTTTTCAGAAAAGAGAGGGAGAAGTTTAGACTGATTCATTAAAGACATTTCAACATCAACATATGTTTCATTTCAAAGAAAATGGGATTTGTTTCCACGGGGGCAACGATTCAAACAAGAGGGGCAATTTGTTTGAAACCAAAAGAAATTTAAAGCCTTTCTTGAAATAAATGCGGATACTTGTGGCCGAGCCCTATAAAAAGATAACACAATATACTAGTAATAGTTGACACTACAGCTGCCCCCGTTCTGTATATTGTCAGTCAATAGTATTCTTGCTCGTTGTGTAGCTCTTTAAAATATACCGATTCATAATGAAGATTTTCAAATATGTTCCATACAATAGGTGAGATAAATACAGGAAACGCAAGGTTCCATACACAGTTTCAGCTCGATTTACACAGCTTTGATCAAAACATTCTCAGTTTCTAAACCATAAGAAAAGATTTAATTAGAAGTTGAATTTTTCGCTATTTCTCTTTCACTTATTACATTCAGTTCATTTTATTTGCCGTAAAGTAAGCCTTAGAAATTAAAAGGACGTTTGATCGATTTACGCTCGCGCATTCTGTCTTATTTGAAACTTTATAACGGAAGGACATCTGTGAGCAGGGAATAAGTCAGCACAGAATTTGATTGTCAGCGAATTTCTGTAATCGTCCATCGTTCTGCTAGCCGGATAAGCTAGCCGTTGTTCACTCTTCTTGCTTGTTTAGGGCTGAGTCTTTTTCCGGTCAAAGAGAGAGAGAGAGAGAGAGAGAGAGAGAGAGAGAGAGAGAGAGAGAGAGAGAGAGAGAGTGTGTGTGGAGCTAAAATTTACCCCGGCGTCAAACACAAATCAGCCTTTAACACTATTTCCCCAGTTAAAAAAAAACTTTTTTTGTTGAAACCCGTGGAAACTTTTTCAAACCCCCTTTTTTTTATTATTCCCGGTTTAAACCCCCCCCCCCCCCCCCACCGGATATAGGCCCTCTGGCTAAATCCCCGTACAAAGATATATAACACAGATAATAAGCCCAGGGCTTCGACAGGAAGTCAACCCCAAGGAAACGTGTCCTTACCGGGTTGAAAACATAATGGCTGACAAGCCGCGAACCTCTCGTCGTGAGAACTTCTACTTTTTTCCTTCTTGTTTCATTCCCATATGCGTATAGCATTTTAGAAACATTTCGATCGCCAGACTAAGGCCACTTAAAGCATTTAACTGTGTAATCAATTATGCATATTTCGATATTTAAAAATGCTATTTAGAACGGTTTGCCTCTATCAGTGATCGTGAAAATCGAACTACAAGCGTAGCTTACTGCCTAGTCAGCTATATGAGACATTTTAGAACTCAAATTTTCGTCACGTGACTGAGTATTGGGCATTAACGGTCAAAGTATTTACTCTAAAATGGGGAAAGGAAACTGAAAGAGCGACGAGTTCTTTTAGGTACATTTCAGAGGCTATCAAAAAGGTTCTGAAGAATTATTCCTCTCGCCCTTATGGCCTCTGAGTTAATAGCCCATTCGGCCGAAAATGTTTTAGTAAAATCCAACTAGTCGGTCAATAATATCGAGACAAAACAACCTTAGCTAGTTAAAGCTAGACTTTAATCCTTTTTTTGCCGCCAAAAAGCGGGCGCTTTTCGCTACTAGCTGGCTATAACTTATAGCCTAGTAGTAGCTCAACCAATCAGAACGCAGCGTTGATAATAGACCACTAGTTGGATTTTACTAAAAACACTTATCCGATGAGTGACTCTCCACTTCAGAGATCGTCACGGCGTAGCTTCGCTCCGTTAGAATAGAATAGAACAGAATCAATAGAATAATTCTTTATGTAAACACGGTAAAATTCATCAGGAGTATAAAAAATTTTACATGAACCTAGCTACCCTAAACAATATGCCAAACTATCTACAACTAACCTTACTAAGACCTTTTTTTCATGAAAGCCGTGTATGAAGTACTTAAAAAAATCTGAAACTCAGATGAGCCGATCGTTTAAATTGACTTAAAGATTTAGCCGCTCTCATGTCACAGGGCAGGCTGTTCCAGAGAACTGCTTCGCTATAACTGAAGGGGTTCTTCATGAAGCTAGTTCGCGGGAACGGGACAATTAGTTTGTTAACAGAGTCCCTTAAGGAGTAGCGCGTTTCATATCGTTTAACAAATTTAGAGGATAAATATCCTGGGACAAGATCATTTAAAGGCTATTAAACCATTAGGGCTTTTTGTATTTGAAACTGAGTCCTCAAGTCTTTCCATTAAGTTGTCTAAATAAGCGGTTGGCATCAGCATCATATCTAAATTGGTTCTGAAGCTTCTGTAGCCTGTCAAACAAAGCTTCTCCGTTACAAAAATCGTGCCCAAGTGTGAACAGAAGACCTTATCCGATATGGTTTTCGGCAACGGTGCACCGAGTAGAACCTGCACCTAGTCAAGACCGTTACTCGTGAAACACATTTTCCATTGCGAACCTTTCAATGTTACTCTCTTTGAAATTCGTGCAATGCCGCGCACAGGTACTTGTCAAACACTTCAACGGCATCCATGCGAGAAGTATATCGCTTATTCACTGAATCGTGGTTACTTTGGGCATTGGGAATTGCGCCCTACGAAGCTATTGTTTGGTGGTCACCCAAGCATATAATTGCGGTGAGTTTCTTATGCACAAATGCCCAATGACCAATTGTCCAAGCAAACTTTATTTAATAAGGTATAGGTTGCACGACCGTTTCTTGAAAAGAATCGAGGTGTACGGGTTATTTTCTAATGGTGCGATAATTGCTTACCGGGATTAACGCAGGAGAATCTATATTGTCGGTACTCTGAGCTCCTAACATTGTCTTCTTCTATAAATAATTAGTCGTATCTTCCACATTTTTAAATAATTCATTACTTTCAAGTTTCTTAAGAGGAGTATTTTTCCTTGGAGCCTGTATATTTGTTTTCTTTTTCACTTGCATTTATTTGAGTAAGTTCTTGTCCACAAGTGTACGTATCCTTGGCTATTTTTTGAACGGCAGAAGTGTTTGTTTGTTTGTTTGTTTTTTTTTGCGGGTTAGGCTTCCTTCATCACGTAACCCGGCGATCGAAATTTTGAAAACTCCGCTTTCCCGTACTTATGAGTGGACGGCTGAAAACGAAAATTTTCGAAGACCACGGAGTAACAGGATCTGATCTCGCACAGGACAAAGAATGCCATTGAACTGTCTCGGCTTTTTTAAAGATTTATGATATATCTGAAGTTTTTTTTTTCTTTCAAGAAGTTTGCTTGTTTGTTACTTGACTTTATCAGCAGAGTCGAGTAGTTCAACAGAGGTCTGAGTTTGGGCGATTCGTTGAAGTGCTTAGCCAGACATCTTTCTCCAGCAAAATTTTTTTTTTTTTTTTTTTTTT